GAGGAATGGGGGATAGGCCGGGGGGGGGGGGGGGGGGGGTTTGTGGGAGTCTTTTACTCAGCACAAGGGTAATCAGGTCAGAGGAAGAAAGTGCTGCTTGTGGAGCACTGTTTAACTGGTAAAAGGATTGAACAATAACAGCAGAGGTTTTCTTCAGCTGTGTGTTTGTCAGCTTCAGAGTAAAGAGGTTTTGGAGAATCAAATCAGTGTTGCACACGCCTGGAGAGAACAAGAGAGATGAGCATGCAATGCTATGTGTACATGTAAACACATACACACATACAGCTAATATAGGCCTACAAGCAGGATATGTGACATGACTAAAGAGTTTAGATAGCATTAACAAATGCATAACACTAACAATAAGTATTACATTTATTATTTTATAAGATTCTGTCATGGAAAGGGTCCTGATACAGTGTTGTTGTTTTTTTATGTTTTGCTGGTAATTCAAATACAATGGTATATAATCTAAATAGCATGTGTAAATGCCTATTATTGGATAATCCATTAAATTAAATATTTCATAAATGAAAGTTAATTAATCCCATTTGATTTACTTACTGGACACAAACCATAAAATCAGATTATTCATAACAAATTAATAGGCTAAGTCTGGTATCACTGCACAAACAGCTTTTATAATAAGTGATGCATGAGTTTTAACATTGATCCATTTCCCTCTGAAGAGATTGATGATCTAGAAATACTGTCTAGATATCAATAATCTAGAAAAACATGTTTTTTTAATGTGCATTACAGGAATATTCCTGGTTAAATGCAGCTTTAAATTTATTTAAATAAGACATACGACAATACCATATCAAATAAATTTGACCTTCAGTCTATAAAAATAAGTAAAATTGCATTTAGTAGCCAATTTTGAAAGCATAGCCTCATTGTTAGACTACTGTGATAAAATCACTTACTAACCTTGTCTGTGTAAAGTTCACATACAGACTTAAAATCCCAACTCCTGTTACATCCCGAAAAAACCTTGTAACTTTTGCAATGATACATGCAAGGCAATGTTGTTTTCATGAAACACCCATGAGCAAAGATGATAACTGCTATCGAGATTGTTCATCTCCTAGAAATGAAGACCATTTAATCGACTTTACAGGTTAAATAACATACATGTTTGCACTGAAGCAAAGAAAGCGTTTTAAAGGGATAGTTCACCCAAAAATTTAAAGAATTTTATTACTCACCCTCATGTCGATCCAAACGAATAAAAAATTCGTTCATCTTCGGAATCAGTGACATCAGTGGTTCAGACATAATGTTATGAAGCTACGAGAATACTTTTGTGCGCAAAGAAAACAAAAATAACGACTCCATTCAACAATTTCTTCTCTTCCGTGTAAGTCATGCATTCACAAGAGTACCACGATGCATGCTGATGTCACATGGACTATTTTAACGATGTCCTTACTAACTTTCTGATATATAAGTTGCACATTTCTGATTTTAAACCATCCAGAAGGCCCCATTGGCATTCAATGTAAGTGCATTACTATAAGCGTGATATTTCTTTGGTTTTAGCAGTTGAGGGACGATGGAGGCCTCCTGCTCTCCGTATGAGGAAAACTCAATCTGAAATGTGACCTTCGCTCTTTTGGCTCTGAAGGTTCTCAGTCAGGTTCTAGAATATTTTACAGCAAGTAGCTGTTGTTGAATCCAGAACGCTGTTTTCTGTGTCTGCAGATGGATCTGAGGGTTCAGCGCAGAGCAGTGATTCTCAGGGCAGCGTGGAGAGCCTGAGGAAACATCTGCGAGCCGATGCCTTCACGCAGCAGCAGTTAGAGGCCCTGGACCGGGTGTTCGAGAGGCCGGCATTCCCAGACGTCTTTCCCACTTCTGAACACATCAAACCAGAGCAGGTCGGTGGATGTTACCTTCTGTCCTGTATGTGTGAGGCTGCAACTGGGATATTTAGAAACAAAAATATAGCAATGTACTACGGTACAAAGATTGTATCAGATACTAATACCATGGTATACACTACAGGTGAAAAGTTTGGAATACTTTTTTGTATTTATTTTTAATGCGTATCTTCTGCTCACCAAGGCGACATTTATTTGATCAAAAATACAGTAATAACAGTAATATTGTAAAATATTATTACAATTTAAAATAACTGTTTTCTATTTGAATATATTTTAAAATGTAATTTATTTCTGTGATCAAAGCTGCATTTTCAGCATCATTACTCCAGTCTTCAGTGTCACATGATCCTTCAGAAATCATTCTAATATGTTGATATTATGGTGCTCTAATAATGATTCCTATTATTATCAATGCTTTATATTGTTGTGGAAATCATGGAAAAATCATTTAGGATTCTTGGATGAATAGAAAGTTCAAAAGAATAGCATTTATTTAAAATATTAACCTTTTGTAACATTATAAATGTCTTTACTGGCACTTTTGATTAATTTAATGCATGCTTTCTTAATAAAATATTAATTTCTCTCTCTTTGTTTAAAAAACAAAACATTATGCACCCCAAATTGTTTAATGGTAGTGTATCACAGTTTCCACAAAAATATAATAATAATAATAATAATAATAATTAAACATGGTAAAACATGGTAAATGTAAAAATAAACCGAAAAATACCATGGCATTTCTTTGTCTATGCAAACTACAGTATTTAAGGGGTGCTTCCAATGATATTTCCATTTTTTTATGTCTCTGTGTGTATAAATATATTGTTTATCAGTAAGTGCTAGTGATGCATTGAGGATCAAAGAGCAGAACTCCCTCCAACCGTTTATTGATTTTCTGATGGAAATAAAAATACATTCTCAGGAAAAACAACACGAGATGAGCTCCCACCCACTCAGCTGCACATGAGAAATGATGTCATTTCCTGTACGGCTCCTTCATAGCTGTTTACAAAATCTAAATATGGACAAACACTCACAAATGAACAATGTTAGCAATTAATAACACATGCACACACAAACAGTAGCATATGAAACACTTTATGTACAATTGTGTATGAAAAGTGTAGGATTTATTATAATGGATAACCTTTATTTACTTTCATTAGACTACTAAACAACAAGTGACGATTAATTTCTCTCCCCGAAAGAGCGAGTCGGAGCCATAAAGCAAAGGGAACGGCCTAATTGAGTTCATTTTCATTTGGGTGCGATCGGGAGACATTACTCCAGCGATTAATCAGGCCGACAGCACTCACCTCCAGAAGAAGGCCTAATTTGCAGCTAATTACAAAACTGATTTTCACTGCAAGATCAATACCGAAATGAATTGGAAATGACTCGCAATCACAAAGGCCGTCAAAGAGGGTATTAAAAAGGATGGAAAAAAGACGAAGGAAACACGGAAAGCCTTTGAAGGAAAAAATGGGCGAACAGAACGCTCTAGAAAAATCAGTTTTAATTTAAGGCAATATTAATCAGACTATTTTCTCCCTTCATAGACCTTCATTCTTTTTTTTTTCTCCTTCGTTATCCCTAAACCAGACCACCGTTCTATTTTTGTCTCTCTCGCTCTCGCTCTCTCTCTATGTCGGGCTATTAGTTAGTGGCTCTGTTCCAAACCTAGTGAGCTGCCTTGCTGTCTACTGCCTACTTAGGTAGCTGCCTTCTAAGGATGCTTGATTGAAGCAATGGAATCCCATAAGTGACCAATCTGGAATGCTCTACATGTCTGCAACTAATAAAGAAATAGCACAATGCATGTTTTTATTTTAGTATCATTGAGATAATATTATTTTTATTCTTTTTTTTTCATATATGAGCACATCATTATTTATTTATTTTTAGATTTATAGATTTTCACTGAGCTTTTCGCAGTGCATTGCCTTGGTATTGCCTTCACTTTTAGCCAAAAGAATACATCTTAGCTTTTGGAGCAGCTTTTGATTTCCAGAGCGTGCCTATGATTCCTAAAACACTTCCTACATAGGCAGCTGACTAGGTTTTGGAGCAGAGCCAGTGGTTTGGTTGTGTTTAGAGGCATTAAAAAGCCGTTCTGGAGATGCTGAATGAGATAGGCTCTCCTCCCACACTTCTGCCAGCCATGTGCTCTTCCTTTTCACTCTCCCCTCCATCTGCATGAGAAAAGCCCTGTTCTGCTCCATGGCCTCCACCGAAAAAGAGCGGAACATCAGGCTGGGCCACCGCAAACAGTTGTAGCCCACAATTAGTGTTTATCTGTGATAGAGACAGACATGGCTGGGGTCAGGGGCCTCCCACACACACACACACACACACTTAAAATCCCCCCCCATCTGCTGACACGGTCTGAGGAGCATGTCTGTAATGGAAGGGGGTTGTGAAAATCATAAATCTTATCAATGTCATTTCCGAAGCGGGGCCTTGCAACTATAAGTGATTCAGCAAAGGCTAAAACAGCACTTCAGAAATGATCTTATTTATAAAATGAGGTGAACTAATCAAAGCCTTAATTTAAATTCATAACAACAACAACAACAACAACATGTCATCATTTTTACTTTCTAGAAAAACTAGAAGAGGTTTTGCCAATGGGAAACACAACCGCCTCAAATGATGGCTTGATGTAGCGAAGTGATTTTGTTTTATAAGACAAAGAGGATGCTAACAAATATGTCAGGGTGTTGTGAAGGGTTGTAAGGATTATCATTAACAAAGACTATTAAAAACATAACTTTAGCTGGAATATATCAAATATAAATATTAGATAAAAAAAACAAAAAACTGATGATTGAAATAAGTTTGAGAAAAAGCACTAAAATTACTAACTGAAAATAATGATAAAAAATTACAAATACAAAATAATAATAAAAAAATGTAATAAAATGATAAAAGCACAACAAAAAAATGAAAAACTAAAAGTTAAGTGAAACTAATACTTACAATAAATAAATATTAAACTTAAATAAAACTGAACATATAATAATATGTATAAATATATATAAATAAATTTAAATGAAAATTGAAAATATAAAAATAAATGCTAATTCTAAATATTAATAGTATATAAATAATACTAAAGTAACAAGTACTGAGACCAAGTACCAAGTACTCAGACCAACCTTAAGGCTTTGATATTCTTGTCTGTAGATATGGTTCGAGTATCTCTCTCAATGTAAATATGTGGGAAATGAAGTTCTTAGCAATGCATATTACTAATAAAAAATTAAGTTTAAATTTACAGAAAGAAATTTACAAAATATCTTCACGGAACATGATATTTACTTAATACCCTAATGATTTTTGGCATAAAAGAAAAATCTATAATTTTGACCCATACAATGTTTTTTTTTTTGACTATTGCTAAAAAAATATACCCAAGCGACTTAAGACTGGTTTTGTGGTTCAGGGTCACATATAGTTGTATATGGTCAGGAAATGAACAATTGACTTAAAGTATGAGAAAATAGTAATAACATATGTAGATAAATAAAAAAACTAAAATTAAAAATGCAAGAAAGAAGAACATTGTGAGGGGGGTAAGGCATGAAGCATAAAATAAGTGAGTGTTGGTTTGATTTGAAAGAGGAAAGGACAATAAATGACAGAGGAACTGAAGTCTGTCTGGTACATAGAGTGTTGAGCAATGCTGATGTGATCTTGATGTTGCTCTGGTCTGCAGGCGACTGAATACAGCCTCCCTGCATTAAACGCAGGCCTGGATGAAGTCAAACCCAGTTTATCCTCCGGCACGACCTCTGACCTGGGCGTCAGCGTGTCACAGAGCTACCCCGTAGGTAAGATCACATGATCAGTCCCATTCATGACCATTCACCCCCTCACATTCAGCTCTAATAGCTAATTAGTTCTGAAGAATACAAATGCTCACACTGTGGCCTTGTGCAGTTAAAATAATCAAGCGTTGTGTCAGTTCTGGCAGGTCACATTAGTCAAGCTCGCATCAGCTGACTCTCAGCTGATCCATGTCTACCCATAGGGATGAGACACCTATCACAGCACCATATATAAGCGCCTTCAGTATTATCACCAGCGTTCGCGTTGCTCAATGGAGGCTAATTACCCTCCTTCATCCCCAGCTCCTCCTCTCGTCAGTCAGGATTCGGTCTTCTGAATTAGATTAATTTTTAAAATGTTACATTAAATTAATTAACTTTTATGATATCAGCAATACATTTATGTTGATTCTGTTCTGTTTACCCTGGGGGGTTATCGCTGCTCTCCCTTCTCTCATGCATGCTAGGCTGCATGGATGTGCAGGGAGTTCTTGCCCAGAACAGAACCATACTGCCAATCCAAACTGTAGGCTAATTGTCAGTCATCTTTGACAATAGTGGTCCTGTCAGAAATGCATTGAATATACTTTTCAACTCTTGAAATTAAAACTGGATGTAAAGTCAGTCATGTTCCCTTTCAGTAGGTCACTATGAGTCACGTCGTGACCAATGAATTGGGATCTCGCTCAGAGAGACCAATCCACTTAGAGTGTAAACTAAACGAGCCAATGCTCATTGACATGCGATAATTGCATCCAACTGCCGCTGATCACAGCGTGAGCATAAAAAGGCAACCGGTGCAACGCATACCAGCTTTTCGCTTCAGAGCCGAGAGACAACATCATTCTGCTCCTACCAAACTGCTTCATGTGTGAAGAGTCTAGCGCACTCTAGGGAGCTTCTTGTGTTGGCGGACGGCGCTTCAGCGGTGGTCGTTCCTGTGTCGAGTGGGTTGCGCACTTCAAGCTGCACTACCCCCTGTCATGCTGCAAGCGGCCATTTCCCCTGTGCATCTCAGCACCTAAAAGAGCATTTCCCTGTAAGAGCCTATTTCTCTAAAAGAGCTTACATGGGTGCGTCTTTGTAAAGACGACGGATCGTCTTTTTAAAGATGCCATTTCACCCGTGGTGTTTCTGGATGCGGTCGTTACCTGGCACTGGGCGATGGTCACGATCGCTGCCTCACGTGTCTGGGCATTAAACACGCTGAGGTGGCGTTTGCGGATGAGTCATGTTCCCATTGCGGGAAGATGACCATCTCGGAGCTGCGGGCCAGGCTCCGTTTCCTCCAGGGGGGCGGAACTCCGTTGCCTCTGCCGCGATCTAGTGTTCGTCCTGGCGGCAGCCAGGCGAGGAATACTTTGGTCAGTAGCACGGCCGGTCTGAGGGTTACAGTGGTGGCAATCCCCTCAGGGAACCAACCCTCAGTGGCCCATCGCTCCTCTAGCGCTTCGCAACCAGTTGAGCCGCCAAAGGAACGCGCTGGGCCCTCTTCAAAGAGTGTACCAGAGGTATCCTTTAGTGCTCCTCCCGATGACCGGATGTCGATCACTGCATCGGAGGGAGAGCTCTCTGTAGAGGAAGATTTGGCTGTGTTGCTGCCCTACGGGACAGTGGCAAGGCCTGAATCGAATCCGGAGATATAGGGTATGCTTTCACGAGCCACTGAGAGGGTAAGGCTCGAGTGGAAACCCCCCCCGCGTCCCGAGCCCTCGAGGTTGGACGATTGGTTTCTCGGGGTGGCTCGCGCTGGTTCTCAGCGCCCCGCCTCGGTGCCTTTCTTCCCGGAGGTGCATGAGGAGCTCATGCTAACCATGACCCCGTGGAAGGGAAATCGGTAGGGCATGACCTGGTCATCAGGTTCCTTAGGGGGGTGAGAAGGTTAAATCCTCCCCGGCCCCCCTCTATGCCCTCTTGGGTCCGAGCCTTGAGATGTTACGGTAGACCGGACACAAAGCTTTAGGACCTCAGACCAGCTCTTTGTCTGTTACAGAGGCCGGCAGAAGGGGAAAGCCGTCTCTAAGTAGAGGATGGCCCACTGGATTGTGGATGCCATCCCTCTGGCTTATCAGGCAAAGGTTGTGCCCTGCCCGCTCAGGTTGCGAGCTCATATGTGTAAAGTATACGGTATAGCCTCAGAGCCGTGTTTCCCCGGCAGACTTCTGCCATTTCCTAGAGGGTTACAATCACCTCTAATCTTCCATATGCACCTAAATGGATGTCATATGTGTAACTGCTTCCGAAACCTCCTTCGGGAAGGATGGGGCTTCCGCAACATTCCTGTTCCAAGTGGAACAGGTACGTTTTCCAAGTGTTATCCAATCTCACTGAGTGGGTAGTGCTATGACAACAGTGACTGGTGTTCTTGTTGTGAGCCCCGGCCTACACCAAAAAGGGGTGCAGGCGGCTCGCACAGGACACTGGAAGGGGCAGCACCCATGGTGCTTTGGTAGGGATCCCAATTTGTTGGTAACGACGTGACTCGTAGTGACCGACTAAAAGGGAACGTCTCAGTTACGTATGTAACCCTCGTTCCCTGAAGGAGGGAACGGAGGTGTCACGTCCCGTCACCACGGCTGCTGTACCACCTCTGAGCGGCCAGGTCACCGGCTCGGCTCCTCAGCGAAAACCTGGTATGCGTTGCACCAGTTGCCCTTTTATGCTCACGCTGTGATCAGCGGCAGCTGGATGCAATTATCGCATGTCAATGAGCATTGGCTCGTTTAGTTTACACTCGAAGTGGATTGGTCTCGCTAAGCGAGATCCCAATTCGTCGGTCACCACGTGATGTCTCATTCCCTCCTTCAGGGAACGAGGGTTACATATACGTAACCGAGACGTTTTATCTACATGCATGAATTAGATCTGCAGTTTTAAAACTCTGTAGCGATATTGGTCTTATAACGAACGTAATGAAACTAGCTTCAGACTAACGAGCTGTTGCACAGAGGACGTTGGTTGCTTAACTGCTCTATCACAGCGCTGAGCTTCAAAATAATATCAAATATTAACATTTACATAAACAAATTCATCATTTGCTCGTGGCAGACAGGGAACGTGGGGTATTTGTTTCTCGGTCTCTCTCTCGCTCGATTGCTCTTGTTAATAATAAATGATGGGATGGTTAATTGAAACGTAGTGTGCTTGTTTTGCCATTTATTAAAGTGAAATGTGTGAAGTTTACTGACAGTTTTACGATCGTCTTCAGGTCAAAGATAAATATACACTGCTTTTATTAAAATTCACATAATTACGCTAAAGCCATTACAGCCATCGCTGTGTGTGTTTGGCTGATGACAGAGAGAGAAAGAGAGAGAGAGAGAGAGAGAGCGAGAGAGAGAGAGCGAGAGAGAGAATGTGGGTTTGTAGTTGGCAGACTGATTATCTGTTCATGGTGGTTTCACGTCACAATCAGATTTGTGTGTTGTTTATATTAATCAGGTATGAATGTAATAATCAGGTTAATGTGCCATCATTTACTCACCTTCATGAGCCCCAAACTCAGTCCACTTTCTTTCTTTTGTGGAACACAAAAGGAGATGTTATGAAGAATATATATGAAAATGAATGCTGTCAAGTAAAAAAAAAAAAAAAGACAAAACCACCTTTAAAATTGTCCATATGACATACAATGCATAAGTTTTGTATTTGGGATTTAGAATGACCTCAGGATGAGTACAATTTTTTTTTCGTAGTACTAAATGTGAATTATTCCAGTTTAAACATGCATGATGAACTTACCAAATAGAAATTCAGAATTAAAACAAAAATATTTAAATTATTTCCATTGGTTAGGCTGAGATCCAGTGTTTAGATGAATGGTTTCCTTAACGGAAAAGAAACACAGATTACACTCACCCTCCATGTTTTCCAACCCCAATTAAAATGCCCACAGTTATTGATCTTGTTGATTTTATGCAAGGGAATTTGCATAATCTATTAAAAATGAATGATTCATGAAGCAGTCAGTGCCAGAGGAGATGAGGGTTTTTGGTGAACTGTGAATACCTCACAGATACACATCTTTTATGTTCACAGCTTGTCCTATTAAAAATGTACTTCCTGCTAAAAAAATTAATAAATAAAAATGTATATATATATATATATACTATCTATCTATCTATCTATCTATCTATCTATCTATCTATCTATCTATCTATCTATCTATCTATCTATCTATCCAAAAATATACATTTAATTCTAACAGTAGGTTTCTAACAAAAGTTACTGTGCAAATGCAACATCTGTTAGCTAAGAACACACTATAAATTTATAATTTATAAGTAATAATATATAATTTTTCAGCATAAACAATGATAGTATGAATTTCACTGTCCTCAATAACAGCTTGATGAGAAAGTGCAAATAAAGAACAGGTCGTGTGTTAGTCTGTAAATCAAATGTATCATTAATTCACTTTCAGATCTCTTTCAGAAGCATTTCTGGGCTCTTCTGAGAACGATCCCCTCGAGGCTTTAGAAGCACCTTGTTGCTAAATCGACTGAATTCTATTTTGATTATTCACAAAAAAAGTAATTAGGGAATTTAAAGCTAAATAAATTAACTTATTTTAGGGCGCCAGAGATCACAATGTGGCTGGGAAGAGCACCAGAGAATGTTTTCTTTATGATTTGGATCACCGAGCATATAAAATGTGTTTAACCTCTCCAGGCCCTGAAAAGCTGAAATAATATTTTCGAGAAATGGGGATGAATTCAATTAGCAGAGACCTCACAAATACAGAGGGAGGCATCTAAGCAGGAATTCTCACACGATACATTGAATTTCTTTGGGAATGAGATTTTCCCATCTCTTAATCCTGCAGGCTTATGGAGAATTGTTTGGCACTTCATTATTGATTATGAATAAAGGAGAAAAGACTAAATTGACTGAGGTGAGTTCATTCTGCTCGAACAAAATCACTAGCCCTAAGAGAGATTTTTTTATTTGTCTATGAACAAAATCTGAACGTTAAACTACTTTTTTTTCTATGGTGAAGCTTCTCAAAGAAAAGATGAGGCCTTTTATTGGTTTTTCTAACATGGGAAATTATGATTTTAATGCAGGTTTGTCTTATATATATATATACATAATTTAAGAATACATTAACTATATACTTTCATTATAACATAATTATTTGTCATGGTAATTATAGTTTCAGCCAAAATACCACATTACAATTATTGTTAGTATTGTTTTTTTTTAATGACAATAAATTATATATAAAATAAATTATATAATATCTCTAAATTATGTTATATATTATATACAATTACACATACATTTATATAAATTACTCTAACAGAATTATTCACCATAGTGTATATCTAAAAAATATAATTTAATTTATATATGTACATTATCGATATTTGATTGCAATATCAATAACTACTTTAACTGTGATATTTGGAGGAAAACTGTGTTTACCCTGGTAAATGTGTGCAGGGGTTTAGCTGAAGTTTTCTGTGTAGTTTCATCTTTTCAGCTGGTGTTTACTATCTATCTATCTATCTATCTATCTATCTATCTATCTATCTATCTATCTATCTATCTATCTATCTATCTATCTATCTATCTATCTAACCATCCATCCATCCATCCATCCATCCATCCATCTATCTATCTATCTATCTATCTATCTATCTATCTATCTATCTATCTATCTATCTATCTATCTATCTATCTATCTATCTATCTATCTATCCAAAAATATACATTTAATTCTAACAGTAGGTTTCTAACAAAAGTTACTGTGCAAATGCAACATCTGTTAGCTAAGAACACACTATAAATTTATAATTTATAAGTAATAATATATAATTTTTCAGCATAAACAATGATAGTATGAATTTCACTGTCCTCAATAAGAGCTTGATGAGAAAGTGCAAATAAAGAACAGGTCGTGTGTTAGTCTGTAAATCAAATGTAGCATTAATTCACTTTCAGATCTCTTTCAGAAGCATTTCTGGGCTCTTCTGAGAATGATCCCCTCGAGGCTTTAGAAGCACCTTGTTGCTAAATCGACTGAATTCTATTTTGATTATTCACAAAAAAAGTAATTAGGGAATTTAAAGCTAAATAAATTAACTTATTTTAGGGCGCCAGAGATCACAATGTGGCTGGGAAGAGCACCAGAGAATGTTTTCTTTATGATTTGGATCACCGAGCATATAAAATGTGTTTAACCTCTCCAGGCCCTGAAAAGCTGAAATAATATTTTCGAGAAATGGGGAAACCCACTGTTGACTCCCTCCCCGAGCGGAGAATTCCCTGTGGTAAAATTATTCCATTTAGATGGAAACTTTTTGTCACTCCTGTCTAAATTGGCATTTCTGGCTCTATCACTGAAACCAGTAAACTGTGAACCTGGATGCAGCTGTCAGTCAAACGGAGCGTTACTTCAGCGTGCCAGATGACGGGATTCGGGGAGGGGAGAGAGAACAGACCGAGAGAAAGCTGCCAGCTGATTGGCTCTCATCAGGACGGCAATAAAAGCACCTGCCACTGTCAGAGCTTTTCAAATGCTGCACACACACACACATATCATATAGACTGTTTGAAACGTGCAGACCCATACATTTTTGACAACTAGTGTAGATTTTACAGATACAGTGTGTCATCATTAACTTACAGGGTTTATAAACTCACAGTTTAATGATCTGAGCACCTGCTGCATTAACACAAGCCTCCATTCACTACCGTTAATGAGCGGATCTGTTTGCGCTGTGGTCAGTTACTTACAAGCATGTGACCACTAATGTTCAGCAGTGTGATCAGAGCGCTGGACGCTAGAGTTACAATGACAACACTGTCAGACGCTCGTATCATTACGTATACATTTTGCCTTCAACATTTAAGTGCATGGCTGATATGAAATATTTAGTGTAATAAAAAATAAACAGCCTATAAAAAAGGAAGTCTAAACATTTTTGGTAATTATAAAAAAAATAAAAAAAAAAGATTTACAATTTTTGTTTATCCTTATATATATATATATATATATATATATATATATATATATATATATATATATATATATATATATATATATATATATATATATATATATATATATATGATTTTTCTTATCTTACTTGTTTTTTTCACTCATCTGTATTGTAAATGTTTAATTTGGCACAAAATCTCTATTTTTGTAAATTAAAAGTTAATTCCAACTTGTTTCCCAACTAAAATCTGCCCTGAAGGTTGATAAAGAACACATTTATATACGGTATATTGAGATTATTTATTTATTTGAATAAATAAATAGAATATAGTTTTTCAATAATTTCTAAATTAATAAATAGTTTCTTAATTTCTTTCAAATTAAACAAATTTTCAATACAAATAAGGAAAAATGTAAATATAAATACACAATAGGAAACTGTTTGAAACTACAATAATATATCCTTATAAGAAAACAAGCAAACAAAAACACAATTTTAATAGAGACTTGAAAAGTTCCCCTAATTGAAGAATCCCCCACCAATATTAAGATTCATTTAATCTTGATTATTTGTATTCTATTATATTACCTACAAATATTGCTTACAAATTGAAATATGTAGATTCAACTCATAATAAATGTCTGTAGATTTCTTTACATTTCTCAGAATGGAACACGAATGAATTAACAAGCCATGCGTGATTCAAACATTGTCATTTTAGCAGCATTACTTTCTCATCAGGTCATAAACGTGTCGCAGTTTCACAACCCAGTGCACACTGAACGCCAGCTAACAACATCTATCCACAGCTTGTTTAAAATAAGCCACCGTTACGACATAATTGCAGATTTCGTTATCACTTCGTCCTCTCAGTGAATCTCATGTGCTCGTTTTCATTGCGAGATGGAAACAAAGAAAATCAGACGTGTTTCATGTCTTCAGCATAACCCCACAGCAAAGCTGTCACTTTAATACTGAGAATCTAATTGGGTTTGGCAATAAATAATGGGACTCCTAAGGAAGCATCATGGTCAGTCGTGGCCCCGCGTGGCGCCGGGTGTTAGCAGGCCGTCCCAGATGCCTGATGGATGTACAACAATTACAGATGCAAGGAGATGCAAGGTCTTCCAGGAGATAATGGTGAACATTCAGTGATCAGGACCTTCAGAAGCGATGCAAAAATAGATGCAAAACATAAAATTATTTCAAAATAGAGCAAATAAGCATGAGCAATCATCACATGTGAAAGCTGTTCACACTCAGTGCAGCAAACGAGAAGGAGAGTGTGAGAGAGAGTAAATTAAATGACTCCAGCACTGCCAACGTGCTGCCCGGTCCATCCAGCGCCAAGCGTTTCTCCCTCACCACTCAATAATTAACCCTAATGGCTATTGTGTGATACATGATGCAATTAAAGGCTAATGTTATGCACGTATGTGATTACCGCGGGCAGAATGACAGGCAGTCAGGGGTCCTGAGTGTCAAAACACGCACTGCCTTAATCGTCCAAACACGTGCAGATCCCTCCGGAGCGCAAACTCTAAGGTGACCAAGTCACGTCTGTCACACTCAAGACTTCTGAATGTGTGGAACATGACACTAAAATTAAAGAAATTTAAATCCTGTCATTTACTTACTCCCATAGTGTCCAAAGTCAACTTTTTATTTTTTCTGCGAAACACCAAAATTTAACCTAAAACAACAACAACAAAAAAAGCAGTAATTTTTCATGATATGCTAACAATATACTGAGGTGCCAATAGTATTTGGAGCAAATAAATAAATACATTAATTAATTGATGAGCATCTAACACTGTTTAAAAAACTACAGCTATTTCCATTCATTTTCCATAAGACTTGTGCAAATGTAAGTTGTCTGACAAAAAGACAGAAAAGTCAATAAAAATCTTAATATTTTTAAATCTTTTTTTATTTTATTTGTATTGTAAATGTGTTTCATTTGGCAGAATTTCTATATTTTTCTAAAATAAATTCACCGTCATCTAGGTTGTTAGCCAAATAAAATTGGGAAGTTTGTTTGCTTGTTTATTTATTTATTAAATAATAAAAATAGAACTTAGTAAAACTAATTAAAAATACACAATAGAAAAATGTTTGAAGGTAGACACACACAGTATATGCATACATACTTTTATTTATTTCTTTATTTTTTATATTGAACTCAAAAGTTCCCTAATTGAAGAATCTCCCACCAATATTGAGATCATTTTAATTGTGGATATTTTTACTCTATTACATGACCTACAAAGATGAATATGTAAATGAAACCTATTACTTCACTGTAGCTCTCAAATCTCAATCCCCATATCGCATATTTATTCTGGCACATTGTGTTTGCTAAAAACATCTGCCATCAACGATGTGAAACCTGCCATAATGCATCAAGGCACTGTTTTTCAATTTGTCCATGATTGCAAATGAGATTTCAGCCCTTTTTCAGAGGGAATTCTACTTTTTGCACTTTTCTGGAGCTCAACAGTGTCTGCCATCATTCATTTTCTTTGTATGGATAGTGTGAACATCCTGGCTAACTTGCCTGAAAAAAACCCCCAGCTATATAGATTACAACATTATGAGGTAAATAATGACAGACTTTTAATTTTGTGTGAATTATTCCTTTAACGGTAGGAGAAAGAGTCACATCATCAACCTCCATCCTCCCAGTTCCCACTCTTTCTCCTGTATATCTCTCCTTCCCTCCCCCTCTCTGTCAGAGTAAACTCATGATGAATTACCCTGTCAACCGAATTCATTCAGGGACCAATTAATCCAGCAGAAATAAACTAGAGCCATCAGACACAGAAAAACCCGAGCAGAGAACCAGGAGCTGCGCTCTTTAAGAAAGAAAAAGTGGTGAAAAGGAAGACAGAACAAAACTAGCAAGGGCTCCTCTTTCAGGAGAGAAACTGAAGAAAATAAGAAGCAAAAAGCGAGTGGTCTCCAGGGACGGCAATGGAAGTTAGCCTGACAGGGGTTGGTCATTTAATGCTTTAGTGCACCGGAGACACGTCCTGTCATAGCGGACAGTATCACGGGAGTCCCCTGGCACTGCCTTTATTAATTAAACCGAACAGAGCAGGGGCACCCCGCAGCCAAACGCCAACTCTGTCACTTTCAGACCCATAAACACTTCATGCTAGAAATACCACTAACACTTTACTTGAAGCATTTATGTATAATGCATTATATAGGCATTCATTATTTGCATTGTAATGAATTTGATATTTACATAAATTACTGAAGCCAAAGTTAAAATGCATTATATTTGCAGATTCATTGTTGCATTTGAAATAGTTTGTCATGTGTTTTCATGTTTCATCTAAAGATGTAACAATGAATAGATACATATTATAATGGATTATATCTGTGGTTATAATTACTCATGATATTATACAATGCTTTTAAGGTACATTACAAGGCATAATTAAAGGAATAGTTTATCTAAAAATAAAAAATTGCTGAAAATGTATTTACCCTCAGGTCATCCAAGATGTAGATGAGTTTGTTTCTTCATCAGATTTGGAGAAATATAGCATTCCATCACTTGCTCACCAATGGATGCTTTGCAGTGAATGGGTGCCGTCAGAATGAGAGTCCAAACATCTGATAAAAACATCACAATACTCCACATGTGATCCACACCACTCCAGTCCATAAGTCAAAGTCAAGCGATTTTAGCAGCATTACTTTCTCATCAGGTCATAAACGTGTCGCAGTTTCACAACCCAGTGCACACTGAACGCCAGCTAACAACATCTATCCACAGCTTGTTTAAAATAAGCCACCGTTACGACATAATTGCAGATTTCGTTATCACTTCGTCCTCTCAGTGAATCTCATGTGCTCGTTTTCATTGCGAGATGGAAACAAAGAAAATCAGACGTGTTTCATGTCTTCAGCATAACCCCACAGCAAAGCTGTCACTTTAATACTGAGAATCTAATTGGGTTTGGCAATAAATAATGGGACTCCTAAGGAAGCATCATGGTCAGTCGTGGCCCCGCGTGGCGCCGGGTGTTAGCAGGCCGTCCCAGATGCCTGATGGATGTACAACAATTACAGATGCAAGGAGATGCAAGGTCTTCCAGGAGATAATGGTGAACATTTAGTGATCAGAACTTTCAGAAGCGATGCAAAAATAGATGCAAAACATAAAATTATTTCAAAATAGAGCAAATAAGCATGAGCAATCATCACATGTGAAAGCTGTTCACACTCAGTGCAGCAAACGAGAAGGAGAGTGTGAGAGAGAGTAAATTAAATGACTCCAGCACTGCCAACGTGCTGCCCGGTCCATCCAGCGCCAAGCGTTTCTCCCTCACCACTCAATAATTAACCCTAATGGCTATTGTGTGATACATGATGCAATTAAAGGCTAATGTTATGCACGTATGTGATTACCGCGGGCAGAATGACAGGCAGTCAGGGGTCCTGAGTGTCAAAACACGCACTGCCTTAATCGTCCAAACACGTGCAGATCCCTCCGGAGCGCAAACTCTAAGGTGACCAAGTCACGTCTGTCACACTCAAGACTTCTGAATGTGTGGAACATGACACTAAAATTAAAGAAATTTAAATCCTGTCATTTACTTACTCCCATAGTGTCCAAAGTCAACTTTTTATTTTTTCTGCGAAACACCAAAATTTAACCTAAAACAACAACAACAAAAAAAGCAGTAATTTTTCATGATATGCTAACAATATACTGAGGTGCCAATAGTATTTGGAGCAAATAAATAAATACATTAATTAATTGATGAGCATCTAACACTGTTTAAAAAACTACAGCTATTTCCATTCATTTTCCATAAGACTTGTGCAAATGTAAGTTGTCTGACAAAAAGACAGAAAAGTCAATAAAAATCTTAATATTTTTAAATCTTTTTTTATTTTATTTGTATTGTAAATGTGTTTCATTTGGCAGAATTTCTATATTTTTCTAAAATAAATTCACCGTCATCTAGGTTGTTAGCCAAATAAAATTGGGAAGTTTGTTTGCTTGTTTATTTATTTATTAAATAATAAAAATAGAACTTAGTAAAACTAATTAAAAATACACAATAGAAAAATGTTTGAAGGTAGACACACACAGTATATGCATACATACTTTTATTTATTTCTTTATTTTTTATATTGAACTCAAAAGTTCCCTAATTGAAGAATCTCCCACCAATATTGAGATCATTTTAATTGTGGATATTTTTACTCTATTACATGACCTACAAAGATGAATATGTAAATGAAACCTATTACTTCACTGTAGCTCTCAAATCTCAATCCCCATATCGCATATTTATTCTGGCACATTGTGTTTGCTAAAAACATCTGCCATCAACGATGTGAAACCTGCCATAATGCATCAAGGCACTGTTTTTCAATTTGTCCATGATTGCAAATGAGATTTCAGCCCTTTTTCAGAGGGAATTCTACTTTTTGCACTTTTCTGGAGCTCAACAGTGTCTGCCATCATTCATTTTCTTTGTATGGATAGTGTGAACATCCTGGCTAACTTGCCTGAAAAAAACCCCCAGCTATATAGATTACAACATTATGAGGTAAATAATGACAGACTTTTAATTTTGTGTGAATTATTCCTTTAACGGTAGGAGAAAGAGTCACATCATCAACCTCCATCCTCCCAGTTCCCACTCTTTCTCCTGTATATCTCTCCTTCCCTCCCCCTCTCTGTCAGAGTAAACTCATGATGAATTACCCTGTCAACCGAATTCATTCAGGGACCAATTAATCCAGCAGAAATAAACTAGAGCCATCAGACACAGAAAAACCCGAGCAGAGAACCAGGAGCTGCGCTCTTTAAGAAAGAAAAAGTGGTGAAAAGGAAGACAGAACAAAACTAGCAAGGGCTCCTCTTTCAGGAGAGAAACTGAAGAAAATAAGAAGCAAAAAGCGAGTGGTCTCCAGGGACGGCAATGGAAGTTAGCCTGACAGGGGTTGGTCATTTAATGCTTTAGTGCACCGGAGACACGTCCTGTCATAGCGGACAGTATCACGGGAGTCCCCTGTTTATTAATTTATTAATTAAACCGAACAGAGCAGGGGCACCCCGCAGCCAAACGCCAACTCTGTCACTTTCAGACCCATCATGCTAGAATGCTAGAAATACCACTAACACTTTACTTGAAGCATTTATGTATAATGCATTATATAGGCATTCATTATTTGCATTGTAATGAATTTGATATTTACATAAATTACTGAAGCCAAAGTTAAAATGCATTATATTTGCAGATTCATTGTTGCATTTGAAATAGTTTGTCATGTGTTTTCATGTTTCATCTAAAGATGTAACAATGAATAGATACATATTATAATGGATTATATCTGTGGTTATAATTACTCATGATATTATACAATGCTTTTAAGGTACATTACAAGGCATAATTAAAGGAATAGTTTATCTAAAAATAAAAAATTGCTGAAAATGTATTTACCCTCAGGTCATCCAAGATGTAGATGAGTTTGTTTCTTCATCAGATTTGGAGAAATATAGCATTCCATCACTTGCTCACCAATGGATGCTTTGCAGTGAATGGGTGCCGTCAGAATGAGAGTCCAAACATCTGATAAAAACATCACAATACTCCACATGTGATCCACACCACTCCAGTCCATCAGTTAATGTCTTGAGAAGACAAAGACAAAGACTGTTTTGGCTTGTAAGTGGCTTGATCTCTGCAGATTTCTCTCCTGATTCCAATGAGGTGAATTTTTCACTGGAGAAAGCAGTATTATGGATAGAAGAAATTTTTGCCAGAAGAAACAGTTTTAAGTTAAAATGTCTTAATGATAGATTTGTTTCTTACAAACATGCAGCATTTTGCTTTACAAGACATTAATCGATGGACTGGAGTGGTGTGGATTATTGTGATGTTTTTATCAGTTGTTTGGACTCTCATTCTGACGGCACCCATTCACTGCAGATGATCCATTGGTGAGCAAGTGATGTAGTGCTAAACTTCCCTAAATCTGTTCCAATGACCAAACAAATTCATCTACAACTTGGATGGTCTGAGAGTAAGCACATTTTCAGCTCATTTTCATTTTTGGGTGGACTATTCCTTTAATGCATTAAAACTTTTTTTATAATGCACTATATAGTATTAAAGCTTCAAGTGTTGCAGAAATACTTACTTTAAAAATTAAATTTCCCTGAATGCACTCGTTAAAATGTCTTTTTTGAGGATTTCATGCTACCACTGAAGTGAGATGACCTCAGACAGGGTCACGATCAGGGTGTGATAACCCGGACCATATAGCATGAGCTTCCGTCCTCCATATGGCTCATGCCAGAGAGCAGGAAACTCAATAGGTTACTGTCCAACATTGTCAGTTCCTCTCTATTGTGGCGAGGCTGATCAGGCTATGAATATTTCATGGCTCTTTTTTTCTGCTCCTGCAGATTAAAGGGGAATTGGACAGCTGGAAGGCAGCTGAGTGTGACAGGTGTCCTTTACCTGGAGCAGGTGGGTGGAGACGGCGCACCTGATTACAGACGCATCCACCTCTTTATGGGCTTTATCGCTGAGAGGAAGAACATTTTACCGGTTCATTTTACATTGAACAATGTCATCTGAGAGGCTATTAGAGTAAGGAATATTCTGTTTGTTAATATAACTCCGACTGGATTCTTCTGAAAGAAGAAAGTCATATACACCTAGGACGCCTCGGGGGTGAGCAAAACTAATTTTAATTTTTAATTTTTTAAATTTTTGGTTGAACGAACCCTTTAATGTTTAATGTCTGGCATAAAAAAATATGCATGTGATTTGCATTTACAGTAAATGTACCAAACTTAGTGAACAAGCTGTATAAATGCACAGAGGATGTTAAATATGCATCTAATACTTTTTGAAAGTATAGCCATACCCCGTAAAGTCAACATAAAATGAAAACTGACCCCATTTCCCATTTTTATTAATATGCATTCCTGGTATTGTTGTGAAGGATTCTTCAGTGCACATCACTCGGAAAAAAAATATATGTTTGACTTCACAATATTTCATGATAAATAGAATAACTTACTTTGCCTCTGAAATGACTTTACTTCAGAATGGAATTATTTAAATTGATTGCCAAGTAACTACTTGAATATTGTTTTAGCATCATCATATTCAAGTCCATTTTTGCATCTAACAACCACTTTTCAAAACGCAATCAATTCCTAATGAATAAAATTAAGTCCGATCCCACATTTGCTTCAATTGGATATCCAAAACCATTCACAAGTTTTCTTTCAGCAATTAAATTAATATTCAGCAGGGATGCTTTAATTTGATCAAAAGCGTCAGTAAAGATGTTAAACTTTTACAAAAGATAATATAATATTTCAAAATAACTTTTTTTCACAGAATTGCGAGATATAAACTCACAATTCTGACTTTTTTTCTCAGAATTGCATGATATAAACTCACAATTGAGAGTTATAAAGTCAGAATTGCAAGATATAAAAATTGCGCAATTCTGACTTTTTAACTTACAATTGCGAGTTTATATCACGCAATTCTGAGAAAAAAATTACAATTACCTTTTTTATTTTTTATTCAGTGGTGGAAATGGGCTTCCATAGGGAATTGCTTACCAACTTTCTTTTCAAAGTTATATCTAATCAACTCATGTCATGACCTGAAAAGAGTAAAAAGACCTACTGAAAGTACAATTTCACTTCATATAACCAGGAAGAGGAAGTAACATACTGATTGTAGCCTAGTGTAATGCATTCATTCATTTGGCAGACACTTTTATCCCAAATGATTTACAGTGCATTCAGAATATATGTTTTGCCAGTACGTGTTCCCTAGGAATCAAACCCACAACCTTGATGTTGCTAACTTCATGCTCTAGCATGGGAAGCTCTCCCAGACTATTTGAACACTAATATTCCCTACAGTACTTACTGTTACAAACTGCAAAGCCTCTGAGCAGAGGAAGACAACGAGAGAGTGCTTATAGGTTGCTCTTCTGCTGAATATAATTAATTAAACGAGTCTAATTAGGAATGTGAGAGCAGGTGCAGACTGTGGGTTGACAGAGCAGACAGCTACTGACGATGGAAAAAAAAAACCTCAGTGTATAAAGGTACAGCGTGACAAAACAACTTTCTGCAGTTTGTCATGTGAAACCCCAGAGGAATACAGCGTGACAGAGAGAAACGACCTCGGCAGCACGCGGGTCAGACGCAGACGGTTCTTCAACGCCTGAAATACACGCTTGCTCTAGTGAGGTGCTGCTCAAATCATTACGCACACATATGCTGAACATCGCAATGGCTGCTAGAGCTCGACTGAGAACATGATGCAACACTTTCTCAGGAGGTTTGTGTTCCAACATCCAACCTGCTGCTAGAGACTGTAGTGATGCTTTGTCAAACTTTCAAGTTTCTGGTGCAGATGAAGGATGTTAAGAAACGGACTTAAAATGCATTTGCAACATTATGTGTTTTGGTCAAATTTTTAAACCATTTGTAAGAATGGTTTTGATGGTCATCATTAAAAGAAGTAACTTTTGTTTGTAACTTGTTTGAGAAGGCCACTATAGCGACTACACAGTACATCCTTGCAACTACATAGAAACACTCTGAAAAGCACCCAGAACACCCTGATAACCACAGAACATCTTAGTAACATAGCAACACCCTGACAACTGCCCAGAACACCATAACAACTACATAGCAACACCCCAACAACCACCTAGAACACCCTAGCCACTACATAGAAACACTCTGAAAAGCACCCAGAACACCATAACACCCTGATAACCACAGAGCATCCGAGTAACATAGCAACACCCTGACAACTGCCCAGAATACCATATAAACTACATAGCAACACCCCAACAACCACCTAGAACACCCTAGCAACTACATAGAAACACTCAGAAAAGCACCCAGAACACCATAACAGCCTGATAACCACAGAACATCCGAGTAACATAGCAACAACCTGACAACCACCTAGAACACCCTAGCAACTACATAGCAACACTCTGAAAACCCCCCCAGAACACCCTAGCAACTCCCTAATATCGACTCCCTAACAACCACTCCTAACACCCTAGCAACTATCACCCTGACAACCACCCAGAACACCCTACCAACTACATAGCAACAACCTGGCAACCTCCCAGAATGCCCTGGAAACTACATAGCAACACCTTGATATGCACACAGAACACCCTAGTAACATAGCAACACCCTGACAACCACCCAGAATACCCAAGCAACTACACAGCAACACTCTGAAAACCACCCTAGCAACTCCCTGACAACTACACAGAACAATGTAGCGAAAAACATAGCGACTCCCTGACAACCACCCCTAACACCCACTGTATCACCCTGACAACCACCCAGAACACACTATCAGCTACATAGCAACAACCTGGCAACCACACAAAACACCATAGCAACCACCTAGCAACACTTTGGCAACTACCCAAAACTACAGTATTGTTGTAGTGACTTTTGATTAATATACTAAAGTGTGTATCCATGCAAACTCTGCAAAACAAATGTGATTAGACTGTAGTCACACTGATAAAGCACTGAATATATTTTGAATGAGTTAGTCTGTCAGTCGTGGTTGGTATATCACACTGAGGGTTTTTTTTCTTTCTTTTAATTATCAAGGGATGTTTGACACAGTGAATCATAAGTGCCTGCTGACAGACAGATCAATCCTGCGTTTCAGGTGGAGAATCCTTAACTACAGAAGTTCTACAGCTCAGCAACGAGTCATATTAGGGATGCATAAACTATCAGAACTTTAGCTTAGATCGCTAGTGAAGCAGAAGTTCACCCAAAAACATTGTATACTCGCCCTCATGTTGCTTCAAACTTTTCTTTCTTCCGTGAAAGGCTCAAATGTGGTGCTTTTGGCATCATTGATCTCATTCATAATACATCCTTGTGGTATGCACGTCACAAAAAAGAAGACAGAATGATCATTTTTGGGTGAACTATTGTTGGCTTGTCTTCAGACATGTGAGGGAAAAACACAATTAGGAACTAGATTTTAACAGTTTTGATATTCTAGTCTCTACACTGGAAAAAAAAATCAGTACAAATATCTGAACATTCTTAAATTAAGATACATTTGCTTGAGAAGCAAAATGACAAGGAAATAACTAAAACTAAAAACTACCCAGACAATAAAAAAAAATGTAAAATTACAAAATAACAATTACAAAAACACACAAGAAAATTACTAAAACGTTGTATTATTTATTAATAAATATTAAATTATTATTTATTAATATTAATAAATATTTATTAAATTTAAAACAGAAAATAAAAACACTTTTTAAAAATTCATGCTATATCAATGATCTTACAACACAGTGTAGATATGGTTTTAATTCAATTTTATGGGAATGTACTTCTATTTTTTTCAAAATTCTTGAATCAGATAACTCCGAAAATAACAACCATGATTTGAAACTATCATTCATTTCTGAAGCACAAACTGTGCAGGACGAGTTACACCAAGAAGTTGAATACACTGAAGACACCTAGCCTATACTGTGCTATATTTAAAAAAAAAAAACACATTATCATGCATCTAAAGACTTAATCGTCTCAGACTGGGCGGACTCGTTCCAAAATTTCCCAATGGATTTCATGATCTACAATCACGACCCGCTGTATCTAATGCCTTAATGAAGAAACACGCCTTTAATTAACAAACCTCTTACAATCCTGATGATTAGGTTCTAAGGGGTTCTGTTAGACTTCATCCTCTTAAGTCCAGAAAGCACTAATTGTTAAGAAATGAATCCCAGGGCTCGGAGATGTTGTGAGGGTCACTGGAGGCGGATGATGTTCTGTCTATTACATCCAGACGAGAGCTTTCAAACACACCTCGGGGCACAATGATTTCCTGATCACAATCAAACGCTCTCCGTTCATTCATTTACATGACCCATATTTGCCAATTTGGAAGAGTTTTCCAGGCCTTTATCTCTGCTTTGACAGAGTGAGATGAAGTTGGAGATACGTTTTGGTTTTCTATGTTGACTGTGTTCCAGCAGAGAAAGTCAGGTTTGAAACAACATGAGGGTTAGTAAATAAAGACAGACGTTTCATTTTTGGATGAACTAGGCCTACTCCTTTAAAGAAAGAGATGAGACTGTGATCCTGCAATTAAAGTTTCTCGGAGAAAGATTCAGCTGAGGCCCATGGGACAATTAACTGAGATTTAATGAAGTCCCTTTTGTTTTCCATCAGACCTTCTTGCTTTTTTAGTTGACTTGCACTTGTCTTTTCGGTTTCGCCCACTTTTGCTTGGAGCAGAAAGCAGTTAGTTAAAAGGCCCTGTGTGATCAGATTGGTCTATTAGGGGAATAATTTGAAAAAGGACTGAGAGAAAGAGACAATAGAGTCGGTCTACAGGCTATTTGGGGTCAAATTTGAGCTTCATGTGACCACCAGTGTAGGTCTTTAGCTTGATAATCATTTCTGATTACATATCATATCTGCAAAATCACTGCCTTTATCAAAAAAAGAGAGAGATGAGTGTAATACTCCTGAAAGATTAGCTAATGACACTGAATTTTAAATACTAAAATTTAGACCTGCAAT